AACTCACTGTCTGAAGAGGAAAACTATAAATCAATACTGCTCTTGTTAATTTGATCAAGGATATCACTCTCCCAGTCTCCTTCAGGCTCCTTGCTCTCACAACATATTAACTGCTCTGAAAAAAGACAACACCGTACAACTAGAATACTAGCTTTAATTGACCACTGGTACTGGCTTTCTAGGGCCAATACATTTGATGTTTGAGGAAATCAAACTATTGTACAATGTATATATGTCACAGGACATCAAAAACAGTCCCAGATCATCGGCACCATGCAAAAAACATGCATGTAAGTCACATTTGCCAGCCCACAACAAGTGAATTTTGTACAAGTTTAGGCTTGTGGATTCTGCCCTTTACCTGATGAACAAGCAAAGTGTATCTAAAGACCATTTCTGGTTACCCTGTGCCTCTGTGTCAAAATGAGCCTTTTTGCAAAACCATTCAAATGAAAATGTGTCCAGCCTACAGGTTCATTTTCATGCAAATCAAACTCATTTTCATATAAATGTGGTGCACGAAGACTTGTTTTGAAACAGAGGCTTAAGATAACTTGGGGACAATTTTTTTAGTAAATTCAAATTACAGGTTGAGTACAAATTCAAAACACAGGTTGAAATTATTGCAGTAGTGTAATAATTTGAGATTACTAAATCATGCTACTTGGACTGGGAGGGAGGGATTTTGCAGTAATACAGGCAAATTACATCTTGCACAAAGAGCAAGCTTTTACATCTATTTTTCTTTGATCTCTGATCAGCAACTGATGGGTAGAACATATTACAACATACCATCCTGAATATCCACTTTAATGGTTCTTATGCTGCCTTCTTTTGATCTGGCAAACAGGGCCTTGAGATCATCATTTGCTGAAAAAAATGATAGAAATTTGGTAAATTTTTTTGGGTCAAAGCAGTATTAAAATTCAATTGCGCAGTTCCAGAAAATATCATATTCCACTCAAAGAAAGGATATGAATTTTCTAGGGAGGGGTGGGGGGAGGGGTTAAGTAAGACCAAAAAATTTAAAGAAATGTATAAAGCTTAATTGAATTTCCAGAGGAGTACGGGGTCCCTTCCATGGGGGAGGTATGGATATATTTTTAAAGCCCTTTACTGGCCTCCCACAAAAAATGCCCCAAAACACTGACATGAATCATTATTAAGTAAATGGAGAGCAAACTGTTGTTTGTTTTATAGCAATTTTTCTTAAACGCCACAACAGAATCTGGAAAAGGCTGTCAGATATATCAGAACCCTCAGTTGTAAATGCACCAGTTCTTGTTGAGCTGCGTCGTTGCTGTACTTTGTGACGGCGATTAGCCACGACAATTAGTATTACTATTATTTTAATTACATATCGCTTCAGCACGTCTTGTTAATTGTACTGTAGGTATTCATCACATTCAATGAAATATGTCTTTCTGGTTTTACCTTTTCCAAGTCATTGGATTATGGCATAACTGTTGTGTGAGGCACGGTGGCCTCATGGTTAGTGTGCTCGTTTCTGGATCGAGCGGTCCAGGTTCAAGCCCTGGCCGGGGACATTGTCTTGTGTTCTAAGGCAAGACACTTTACTCTCAGTGCCTATTTCCACCCAGGTTTATAAATGGGTACGGTGAACTTAATGCTGGGGGTAACCCTGCGATGGACTAGCATCCCATCCAGGGGACAGTAGAAACACTCCTAGTCGCTTCATACTACAGAAACCAGGACAAGCTCTGGCCTGATGGACCACTTGGCTTGTATGCAGACTTTACTTTACAACTGTAAGTATACAGTTGGGACTATGACTACTGTAAGTGCCAAAATTTTTAGGATTTTTCAAAGTGAGCATCATTTGAAGCATGACCGAGCAGTGGGGAAAATGGGACTAGTGATGTCATTTCATCGAGGTTAGGTGTCCAACTGCTAAAATTGTCAATTGTACAGGTAGGATGGGTAGGTTAATGGAAGTTTGACTGTTAAATTACATATTCATGTAATATGAAGCAACCTGATCTCTTTACTACTGTGGACGACCTGTGTCATAGTATTAACTGGGAGACCTGTGAAAGGTAGCAGCTTACAAAATACGTTATGTTAGAACACTGAAGATACGAATGCCTAATAGGATTGTATATCAATAAAAAAAAAAGTCCCCATAAGAGACGAGGCAATGCGTATACATAACAGCGCATCAGTAAATGCAGTTTAGTCCGAAATTGCTGCCCAAAAATCATTTCACTCCGACTTGAGCAAGGTATACACGAATTCGGCAAGTGTTTAGCCACACTGCCAAACCACTCTATTCTTTGAAAAACGAAAGCTGCTGGCACAGTAAAGAAAACATCGAGGAACTATTTTGGTGTAGCTGCCATAAATGTCAAGCTATATGGGACATCTTTCTTGGCTCACAAATCATGTCGGCGGCCGGCTAGTCAGGAAGTTTGAGCAAATCAATGACAAAATTTTAGATATTATCACTCAAAAAAGTTTGCTATTGTACCAATGAGCAAAACGTAAACCTCACTAGTAAACTAACCTTGAATGCCAGTCTGGTGAGACATTCTTTAACTGAGAAATAACAAAACAGCAATCAAAGACCCTCCTCCGACACAGTCAAACCAACCTGTGTCAGGAACTTCCAGGACCGGCCATTTTGCATGACGTCATGAAACTCCAGTTACGTCACTTCCGCTCATAGCAAGCAGGAAGTGAACTCGATATTCATACTGTATTACCAAAACGTACTTCAAAATTAAAAATGCGTATTGGAAACAAAAATTTTAACTCGAATTTTTATTCATTGCGAGATCGTTGTTCAAAATAATTTAAAGGACTGAATAGGGTATATTTGAATAAATAAAACGATAATTTTATGATTTTATGGGCAAATTTTAGGAACAATTGATATTTATTTGAAAGAAGCAACTAAAACAATCAGTAATACTCTTTCAAATTTTCCGTTTTGAATTATGGGAAAATTTTTGCTGTGTTTTATTCATTGCCTTGGTTCCGCGGTTTGTTTCTGTGACATTTCGTGACAGCAGTATCTGTCAGCGGTAAATATGCCATTGATAACTATAGAGAATTTAACATACAAATCAATATGCAAAACAGAGATTTAGCTTCCAGTAAAATCAACTTTACTATCATTTTAATTCTCATCCCATCTAGTTAGAGTATAAGTTTGTTTTTGGTCCTTTTTCATGCGAAAAATAATTACAAATTTTTCGAAGCCTCTTTCTACAGCCGATACAGCTTCTGATCGAGAAAAATATTCTTATTACATCACAAGTCCCGACACGTTGCAGCACCTTCGTTGGTTTACACATTTCTCATTGATTCTACGTAAATTTCCATCTTTTAGGGACGTTTTTCGCTGATCTAGATTGAAAAATGAAAGCTCTCATACTTGTAGGAGGTTATGGCACGAGGCTTCGACCGCTTACCCTGTCAAAACCAAAGCCACTGGTGGAGTTCTGCAATAAACCCATGGTTATGCACCAAGTTGAAGCTTTAGCGGAGGTGAGATAACGTTATACGCGTTAAACTTTGATCACGAGATCAAACTAAACTAAGTTTAGTTATTTTGTAGATGAAAATGTTGTGTGATGAAGCTTCTCTTGGTTGTATAATTTCATCCCGAATATGATAATCTTGTTGGAGAAATATTCATAAAATCGAATTCAATTCGAGGCTTCAATGGACACTTGAAACTTTAGCTTGTTGTAGAGATTTTTTTTTTTCTGAACTGTAGGTGAAAATTTAATGAAGTTGATTTCTAACAACTCCCTTGCTACCTCAAATACAGAGAAGTCCCTATCTACATGTAACAAAGAAAACTATACTGATTATAGTACCAGGGTTCTGCCTTCCATACATGCCCGGTCTGATCAATCGATGATCGGAAATCCAATCGATCAATCGATATCAATCGATGACAATTAGCTAATTGTTATCGATTGCTATCAGCCAATCAATGACCAATCGATAATCACAAGCTCGAGTCCTCTAATTGCTATTGATTGCAATAGATTGCCATCGGATTGCCATCGATTGCCATCGATATTTTTTTATTTACGTTTGCTTGACGTCCCGCTGATTTGATTGTAATTGATCTTTGCGTTCCGCTCGCAGCTAAGTAAGTGTCTCAGGTGTCTGGCTACTTCTTGTCTTCTGCCGAAATAACCAGGAAATAACCGTCTGTCAAGCTATTTTGAACATCTACTTAATTTGCCCTTTTGCAGTCAAAGGAGATGAGATACATGATTGCGGAGAACATCAACCCAAGGAATTAACTGCTTTTACGTATCAACCATCTTTCCTCATTTTACTCTCCTGACCTACCTAAGCTCCCGGCTAAGTTAGAGTAGAAGTAACTGGTGTAGCTCTTCTTGCATTAGTAACTTTGGCAAGTCCAGATACAATACGTATTTTATAGACCCGCCCCAAAAATATGGAAGTCGATGAAATTGCTAGTCAATGACAATCGATGGGAATCGATAATAATTGATGACAAGTGATGACAATTGACGACAATCGATGGCAATCAATGGTAATTGAAAACCACAAAATTTTTGTTCATTGATTGGTCATCGATTTCCGATATCAATCGATTTATTGTTATCGATTATCAGTTTCATCGATTGATCAGGTTGGGATGCTTGTTACTTTTAGTCTTTTTGACTGCTCGGAATAACTTACTTACTAGGACATGGTTATAAATGGGCTCACTATGTCGGGGCTTCCTCTGAAAATGAAGCAGGGATGGCTGAAGCTCACAACCTTTCAATAATGCCTGTATTATTTGTGGCAGTTAATATAACTCTAAAGACTTCTAATCAAGA